TAGGAGTTCTTCACATGTTATGGATATTAACTCCTTTCCTATTCTATGTGTTGCAAATATTCCTCCAGTCTGTTATTTGTCTTTAACTTATTTATTTGCCACATTTTCATAATGATGACTTGTTCACATTAGAAAACTACAAACGAGTAGTTAAAAAAATGACCCTAGATATTGTTTTTAAAATTTGTACTGGCTATTTGATAAAAGTAGTAATAGTAATTTAGGTATACAGAGAATTGTGATGTGGGGAATCTCAGGTCTCACTAAGCTAATCTAAATATGAAAAACAACCTTGAGGGAATTAGCTGCTTTGTTCACTTTGAGGTACTTTAAAATTACAATTCCCCTTTAGGCTTACTTATAATTGAAAAAGAAGGAGTTGGGGGCTTTAATATGTATTAGATTGACATTGGGGGAAATGAATTTTTACTTCATCTGCAACAAATGAATCTTAATCAGGTAAGTGGCTCTGGGCTAAGGGAACTATAGTGACTTCCTTCTTTCATTTTTTGAAATGTTCTTTTAAGTCCTGTGAAACTCTCTGCTGGCTAGGTCACATGTCACTTCCCTGAGACCTCTAAACCTTCTCCAATTCCCTGCAGCATTTTACATGGAGACTGTGGCAAACATTTTTCTTGCTTTTGGAGCCCCAGATTTATTTAGGTGTTCATTTTCCATCTTGTGTCTTCAAGGATGTGATCATGAGCAAGCTTCAGATGTCAAGTCAGAATTGATCAAATCCTAAGTGTTCTTAAACTTTAGTGAGCATCACCTTCACCTGGGGAGCTTTTTAAACTACAGATTGCTGAGCCTCACTCCCAGAGGATGTGATCCAGTTGGTCTGGAGTGGGGCCTTCCTAACAAGATGATGACAAATTTTGACATGATGCTGTTGCTAATGGTCCAAGGTTCAGACTTTGAGAATAACTAAACCAGTCATAATAACCCAGTATCTTTTGCCCATGATTGGTTTAGATATATAATCTTGATTTTCTCTCTTATGTCATGCAGATTATCACATCTGGAAAGTGACACAAAAATAATTTCTCAGATGACAGCTTTCAGTATGTACTGTGTCAAATATGACCACCATTTTATATGATTTCTGTGTTTTTGTTTCTGAAGATCATGCACGTAATACAGACCAAAGTATATATTTATATATACACGCAGGATGCGTAAAGATGTGTTTGCAGCTTTGCAATTCAGGTTACCCGGGTTTGTAAGGAAGTCTGGTACATGGACTTGGATGTCAGAGTAGCCTGTGTTTGAATTACACTTTTTCTATCCTGTGCCAACCACATGAACTTGGGAAAATGGCTTAATTTTTTGGCCTTTGATTTTTTTTTTTTTTTGGCCTTTGATTTTTACATGTGTAAAATGGGGATAATCATTCTGATCTTGTGGAGTTGTGAATATTAATAATAATGTTTCCAAGTTTCATATACAGACTCTCAAGAAAAGGTGATTAAGTATTATTATTGTTATTTCGCTACTTTTCAGGGCTTCTAGGCTAATAGCAAGTTGATTCTTTGGTAGCAAAGCCCTACTCCTGGGCTCCTAGTAGTCACATTCTTAGTGAAGACTCTTTATGCTTATTGGATCACTCTGGTTCCATCTGTCATTCCTTTGACACCTGCCTATTTTATGACCAGTGCTGTAAATGGGAATAGAAAACAGAAGGGAGATAGTAGCAGGTATAACTTTATTCCTCACTCTCTGGGGCCTCTGTGTCTTGATGAATGTGGCTACTTCTAAATGGTGAGAATATCACTAAGAGACAGAGAATCCCTGGTTCCTTTTTAGCTGATCAAAAGAAGGATATTCTTTGTATTACTTTTTGGGGCCAAACCAGTCAATATTATTTCTAGTCACTTGGGAAATTGATTCAAGAAGATAGACAGTGTTGATAAAGAGTGGCCTTTGTAAGTTTTTCTTTTTCTCTGTCAGTACAGACTCAGTGAGGACTGCTGAGAATAACCTGGGAACTAAAGGCTACAGAACTTATTGTTATCCATCAAGCCACTTAGATCTTAATCAGATCTTAAGAAAACTGAAAATCCAAAATAAGTCATGATGAGGTCACTGTCACCCTGATGTACCACATTTGGTACACGTAGTCGTAATGTTTGATAATATTCATGTGACTGCTTCAGGCATTATTACTATCTATTCATTCAAAATACAATTTATGTGTAGGGCAAGAGTTTACTCTCTATTTTTGTGAAGGCTCTGACTCCACAAGCCATTAGAACTTTCCAAATATAGATTTTCACTGCACTCGTAACTACTTCAAGGTCGGCTTCCAAATCGGATCTTTTGGTACTATGGAAGCCTTTTAGAGCTGTGCATGGGTCACATAATTATAAATAATACCTCTTGCTCACTTGATATTTTCAATATTCTTTTTTAAAAAAGTGAAAGGCTAGGCAAAATGCTTCACAGGGGAAAAACAGTACAGTAATTTTATTTTCTCTTTATTGGATCAATGCAATTTATTTTTATCTTTTAAAGTGTAAGTTGCTCAAATTGCCAACCAGAAAAAATCAGTATTGGAGTAGACAACATATAGAATTCTAAAACTGTTCTTTTGCTCCAGTTTTTCTAAGGATAATCAGACTGTAAATATAGCTTCTAATCAATTTACACATCATTAGAAGCCACATATATTAAGCCAGTTTGGATTTTCTGTTATTATCACTCACACTTATTTACTAATTATTTTTCTAAGTAGCAAGATAAATCTTCACTCAGTCAGTCTTCCCCCCTCTGATAGTCTCATAAGAAACTAGTTTGCTATTAGCCTGGAAATGTTCCAAAAACAGAACAGTGTGGTGGCAGTCTGCAGCATGGTCTCGAGGGAGACAGCAGATGTTGGTTCAAATGTGACTTTTATGCTCTTGATCCCACATCTGAAAGTAAAGATGCAGTGTGTCTCTGTAAAGTTGGTGCTGAATAGGAGTGTCCCCTCTCTGTCAGCTCATCAGCCTCTGGGGAAGCGCAATCTAAAAGCCATCAGTGGACTCCAGGGTATTGCCTTTAATCTAGGTCTTTCATGGGGTCTTATAATATGGCGGGAGTAACCAATTTAAAGCAGACAAATGCTAATCATGCAGCAGCTAGCTGCAAGAACAGCTCTCATCTGGGGATTTAAAAACACTTTGCAAAACATAAGTCATTAATCTTCGCAGTGGCCCTCTGGAGTCATAACCATCCATCACCACCCATCTTTGCCACTAGGAAATCTGGAATTTCAGAGGTGCAGTGTAGGGCTGCACCCAGGGTTCCAAGTGGGTTCTGTAATACAAACTGTGATCTGACAATCAAGCTCTGGAATTGCTCTTGTGCGCAAGGCACAGTAGGGAGATGTGGTTGACATGATGGGGCCACGTTTGGGTCTGTGGAAGTGCTGACTTGATCTGGACCCCCTCAAATGCTGTGTGTTATCTAAGGAAATGTTAATGGAAAATGAGCTATTATGTTTGGCTCTGGTTTTTTCCTTTCACTGATCATTTCCTTCCCTACAGGTCCCTCTTTCTTGTAATCACTTTCTTAATTTGATTTCTTAGGTCTAAAGTCATAGATTCACACCTTATCAGAACACTCAGAAACTGACCACTTTTAATCTTTGCATAAAATTTTGAGAGTCTGGGCAGGGGTATATTTATTGACAGTGAATACCTAGGCATTAGGGAAGACTCTGTTCTCATTGCTTTATCTTGCCCTCTGAACATTTCTGGCCCATGGCAAGTGCTTCATAGAAGTTTTCTGAATGAATATATGAATGAGTAAAACCATGCTAGGGGTAAGAGTTGGAAGAAAAGGAATTGTGGCAGTGATAATTGGCCAGATATTACTCAGGTAAGATTCAGAGATTTACAAGATCATCTGTTCTGGTTATGGTACTGGTGGTGGTGAACCATTAATCTATTTAAGGCCCTAATTTTATAGAACAAAATACTAAGGACCACACAGAGCTTAAGTGGCATGCATGAAGTCTCATAATACTTAAAAGTATAGTCATATACTGTAAAACATGAGAAATCACTGGGTTCTTTCCTACTTGTGTAAAACCTTAAAGTGATTGGTATAATGTCCCAATAAGTGAGTTGAAATCCTAGTCTGTCACTGATTATCTGTGACTGGCCAAGCTCACTTAATTCTAATGAGCAGTTGTTTCTTTGTCTGTAAAATGCTAATAATGATCATTGTGAAGATTAATAAGATAATAAATATAAGAGTATTTAGTAGATGGTGGAGTATTCTATATTAATAGGCATTTTATAATTCTACTTGAATTATAAACAACTTATTCATAGTGACGATGAATAAGCAACTTATTCATAGTGACTCATTAAACTGTCAGACAAGCTTGGTAATTATTAAGCAGAAGGGTCTATCATTGAGAGAGGAAGTGTTGTAAATATGTCTGGCTAATGTCAACCATTCCAAACAAAGAACAATTAGTGCATCACACTATGTTGAAATGAGAATATTAGAAAACATGTTGCAGGAAGTTTACAAGAGGCTTCTTGTGTGGGAGAAAAACAGGGGAGTGGGCAAGGCAAGGGGACAGAGTGTGTGTGAGTGTTAGGAGCCGTATGTTGTGATACATAGATAGACACCTTGAAGGCAAAAATTTGGGCCTCAAAAATAAAGAAAAAAGGCTTTATCTTTATGTAGCTATGTAAGCATGTGTCTATCCCTCTACTCCCTGCCAACCCCATCCACACATCCTTTATCAATGGCAGTCTTGTCTACTCAATATGTAGAAGATGTATTTTCTACCACCTGTTCCCTTTTAGAAAAGCCCACCTGTCTTGAGTGAAGGTAAAAATGCCAGATTCTCATATTCTCAGTGTATTTTCAGCTAATGGTATCCATGTCACCCAGTTCTGGTCAATGAAATATAAGAGAAGTCTACTGGGGTGTGTCTGGGAATGATCTTTTCCCCATTGAGAGAGCTTTGTACAAGGAGATCATTTTTTCCCCTCTTCCAGTGTTATGTATGTGGTGCGAGGACATGATATTTGGAGTTGTTGCAACCATCTTACCATCATGAGGCCACCAACCGGAGGATGAAAATCTCACGTGCTGAGGATACCACAGCAAAAGGATGGAAAAACCCGGGGCCTGGGTGACATCACTGAGTGGCTGGGCAGATTCTTGAACTGTATGCTTTCAGACTTATAACTTGAAATTATCATTATGTCTTTATTATATATATCAGTCTAAGTTGGGTATTCTTTTAATTGCAATCATAAGTATACAGATGTATTCTTAATTCACCTTTATCTCCTTTGTCCCAGGAAAAATTTAAGATACCCCCAATACTGTATGATTAAAGAAATATGAAGTAGGTGAAAAGTGAAGCAAAATAAAGAAAGGATAGGGAAGAAAGATGGAATGAGGACTGGTGTCAAAACACAAAAGGTGTTCTGTGGCGTGCGAGTGCCATGTTTTTATTTTGTGGGAAAAGAAATACTGTTAAGGCACAATATTCAGTAATTCCTCTTAAAGCCTTGTTGAATGATAAGTCAGAGCACCAGCTCCCCTGGGAAGGAGCTCCCTCATTCTCTCCTCCCCTCTTCCGAGTATGAAGATTTTAGCAGGGACAGTCAGGGAAGCCAGTGAAGAGGCATTAAGATTGAGGCACTGTGGTGTCACCATCAGTTGGTTTCCGATCCCATTGGCCACTCTGCTAAGAAGAGGAAATGAACTCTCCACAGAGTTGTGGAAGTTTGAGAAGATCAGAAACAAGTCCTCAGATCCCAATTGTATGACTCTATTAAAGAGCTACAAAGCATTAGATGTATTATCATTATATAATATGTAATGGCGGTAAGTGGAAATCACTTAGATTCCAACTTAAAAGGATGGGGAATGGCATAGTTAGTGGTGGTTTATCCATTTAAGGGACTGTTATATGGCCAGCTTCTATTTACACACTTCTACCCATATTTAAATTTTCAAACAACAACAATGACATGCACCTGTCTAAGGCACACAGCTGTCTCTCAGTACAGTGGAAACACTCTCTCTCCCCAGTCAGTGGATCTGCTTCTGCTGGTGGAACCTCTGCTGGGGGGATCTGCCTTGCCCAAGGTTATGCCTCGTCTTGGCTGATGTGGGTGTTCAGAGGCCTACCCCCTTGCCCCAATTTGGAGCAATTCTGAAGGGCCCCCCAGGCCCCCCTCAGAGTTCCTGAGACCTCACTTGCAACTACATTGCCCTCCCTCTGCCCAGTCCTTCCTGCTTCACTTTGATATGAATCACTAAATTGATTTCTAAAATGATTGTATCACTTTATTCAGTCACCAGAAGGGTATGAGAGTGCACTTCTCTGATACTGGGCTGTTTTCTTAAAAGAATTTTGTCAATTTGATAGGCAAAATGATGCTTTCTTAATTTAATTCATATTTCTTTAATTACCAATGGATGAAATTTATTTTCATGTTTATTATCTCTCTTTATGTGTGTGAATATACATGCACATGTGTGTATGTAGGTATGTAAATTATGCCATTATGCACATAGTATAATTGCCTACTATGTCCATTGCTCAAATTTTTCTTGACATATTAGAATTTTTCTGCATCGTGTAATGAAGATTTTTTTTTTCAGTTTGTCATTTGCCTTGTAATTTTGTTCATGGAGCCTTTTGATGTAGTCAGTCAAATTTAATAATCGTTTCTTTTGTGGTTTCTGTTAAGCTTGGGAAGGCCTTCCCTAACCCCAGGGAAGACGAACTTTGATTGGAGGTGGGGTCATGTGGTGGGGGAGGCAAAACGGGGCAGACAGAGAAAGGCTGACTGAGATTGCGGCTAAGTCTGGAGTCCCAACGAAGGCCCTGTGATCGTGCCTTCTTCCTCCTTAATTCTACAGATGAAGGAGCACAGGTCCAGGGAGAATAAGAAAAGTGAAGGAACAGATTGCAAAGTCTCCTAATAACAGCATTATCCATAACAGGATTTATTGCATTTTTATAAAAAACAATGAACTTAGTGTTGGTTAAAAGAAAAAAATTTGTCTGTGTTCTTCCCATGTTTTTATGTTGGTCACAACATGGAAATAGAGAATTTAAACTGTCCCTGAAAGCTGATTGCGTCTTTACACATAGAATTGATGGTTCTAATTTATTTTTATTGATTGCATAGCATTTTATAAAAGCTGTGTGGATGTCATGGTGCTTACCCAAAGCAGATTCACCACAGCAGCCATCGTCCACCTGGGATTGTTACCAGTGCCCACACATTGGACTGGAGCTACTTGGAGCTGAAGAGGAAGAACAGCCACAGTAGTGGCTCAAGGGCTAGACACAAACAGCAAATAATGGAATATTCCAGAAGCAGGCCTTGCATCTATGAGGTGGGCTGAAGGGCTGTCATATTTAATAAGTATAGGATATGCAGTTAAATTTGAGTTTCAGATACACAATGAATAATTTTATAGTAAGTATGTCCCAAATAATTCATAGGACATACTTAACTAAGATGTTATTCATTGTTCATCTAAAATTCAAATTTAATAAGGAATTCTGCATTTTACCCAGCAACTCTAGCAAGCAGGACCTTTTGTTATACATTCTGTAATACTAAACTTATTGCATGCATTGTATGAGGCTGTTTTTTTTTATCATTCCAATTACAGTAATTGACCAAAAAAGGTATCAAGGAAGAGTCCACCAAGAATCTCACATTGATATGAAAATTAGCAATAAGAAACAGAGATATTGTATTAGTTTCCTAGGGCTGCTGTAACAAAATACCATAAACTGTGTCACAGTTCTGGATGCTGGATGTCTGAAATTAAGGTGTCAGTGGGGCCGTGCTCCTTTTGCAATCTGTAGGGAAATCCTTACATACCTCTTCCTAGCTTCTGGTGGTTTGCCAGTAATCCTGGCCTTCCATGCTTTGTAGCTATAGCCCTTCAGTCTTTGCCTCTGTCCTCATGTGGCATATCCCCTGTGGGTCGCTGTCTTCACAAGGCATTTTCTGTTTTTAAGGACATCAGTCATATTGGGTTAGGACACAACCTAATGAACTCAGCTTAATTTGTTTACATCTGTAAAGACACCATTTTCAAATAAGGTCATATTCACAGGTATTGGGGGTTAGGATTTCAACATATCATTCTGGGATCACAGTTAAACATATAACAGACATTATTGCCTATTATCCTTGATTATACATAAAAATTTGGAAAATAACTTTAACTATAGTCATTTCATTCTCTGCTTAATTCCAAGTACCAGATACTGATTGGTTAATTGTGTGGGATCCTCAAATTTAGACTTACACCTTTAGCCTGCAGCCCAAATTTGGTATTAGAAGGAGGATGCTCAAGGAACTGCATAAGATTGTATTTTCCTGAATGTAAGGTGAAATGTGCTTTTAAATGAAAATAATTTTGATTGTGTGGATTCTTAGGCATGATAGTCAAAGTTTTACTTTCAAAATTTGTAAAGGATTTTTAAATTTTAAAGTGTTTGGAGGAATGTTTAGATAACAAAATCAGAGCAGCTCCTTAGTGGCAGACAGGTTTGTAAAGGAGAGCCCGAATAAGCAGCAGAGATGACCAGCTATCAGGAGAGTTGCCGAGTCAATGTCTTAAGTGCAAATTTATGATTTGGGTTTACAAATGTTTTCCCCCACAAACTTAAGTCTAGTATACAAGAAATTATGTTATTTCCCAAGACTTTTTAAATTTAATATTGGGAGTACAAGGAACTGTGTTTTGAAGTGGATACCTCTCTGTTATTTTTCTTCATGGTGTTAGGCAACATCTGTTAGTTGTTCACTGAAAGCTTCCACTCTCTAATCAGAAAACCCTGACCTGGGAGAACTTCAGGTGCTCGGATATTTCCAAGGTAGGAAAGGCCTAGATCGGGAGTAGGTGGACTTGCAGATTGATGGGGGAGGCTTCATCTGCATCTGTTCTTGGCCACATGTTGAACCACTGGTTGAAGTGAAACATAGTTCATGTCCTCTGCTCCACCTTTTCTGGTGCCTGGGAACTCCGGCCACTGCAGCCTCCTGTACCTCCACCCCATCCTGGCTCAGGTTTAGAGCCAGTCCTCACCGAGGCAGGATGTGGGTGGTGTCAGGTTTCTCACTCTGCTCAGCACCAGTCATTTTCCTAACCTGGGATCTGGGTACACTGAGAGGCTCTGCCCCACCCCCATGACTCTTTTGTTGTCAGCCCAGGGCCCACAATCCATTGACCCCACTGGGCTCCAGCACCCTCCGTCCTGTGTGTGTCTGTGACCTGCTCTGGCTGGCAGGTCTTGAATCTGGTAAATTGTCTTGTTCTTGCCAAGCCTTCTCCTGTGAGCTAGAACCCTGCCTCTCTTCCGGGGTAGGAAGCAGGCTCTGCTTTGCCCTGAGCAAATGTTACCATATCACTCTGGAATCATTCTTTACCTTGGAATTATAGCTGCTATTCTCTTCCCACCCAGTCTTGTCTTGGACTTCCTTGGTGGACCTTTGTGTCAACCACCGATGTCCTTTCCTTTGTGCCCAGCCCACGTTCCTCTGCTGGCTGGGTCTGTTTCTGGTAACTACCTTAACCCAGTTCTGGGGCATTTCTGTAGTATCCTTAATCCCTTCCTCTCTTCCTGCCCTTTGCTGCTGGTAAATTCCATCTGTCTGATGCTGAGTTCTGAGACATAACAAGAGGGGCCTGCTATTTTTTTTTAATTGCATTTGTTTATTTAGTGAGGGTTTACATTTTCTCATGTGGTCATATATTCTTTGTTAGTTTTAAAAAATAAACATTAAAATTAAGGTATTCTATTATTTGGTCATCCTGAAGTTACTCCATGTTTACAGTATTTTCCCTGTACTATAAACCTGGTTTTTGGAGCAGCATCATTGGTTCTTCTGTACCTGAATGTATTTTCCTAGTTGTAGTTATCTTTCCATGTCCTTTTTGCCTCATGGTCAATGAAAGGTATTTTTTAAAGGTTAAGATGTAGTATTGCCTTTGAGCTTAGAGTTCAATTGCACTTTGGTAAATACTGGTGTTGACTCATTTTCAGAGCCAGTTCTAGCTTTTAAAAAATTTCTCATCAAACTTCATTTTTGAAATGCAATAAAACCTCAATTATTTGGAACAGAAGTGAATAGGACGCATTCAGTGAATTAACTACCTGGACAAGTTAATATCTACAATAACTGTGGGCCCAATCCTGCATTTTAAGATTATTCTGTAGGTAGGCCTATATGTTCGGTTGTTTTTTATTCTGATTAAATTCATCAGGTTTGCATATTAAAAATTATGCTTGACTGAAAATGATCCAAAACATTAGTTTAATTTTTCTAACAGCAGCATTCCTGGGACTGTTACTAGCAAGAGAAGTATTTGTTATAGAATTATACAACTGTTTGTATCATCTTGTTAATTCACTGCTTGTATTTTCACTGTAGTTGAATTTGGAAATTCTGAATTTGAGGGGCCCACTATTTTTGAAGCACTTGCGGATTTTTGTCTTGAGTGTTTATACTTTCGATATTGGGTCTCCTCAAGTTCCTTCCATTTCTGTATTATCTGTTCAGAGACATGGTGGAGATAGCATATAAAAGCTCATAGCCCAAGCTAAAAAAAATTGATTAATGAGGGGATGGGGGATGAATGAATGCATGAAGAACCAACCTTTGAGGGCTGTTCAGGTAAAAAAAACAAAGGTCT